TTTCTCTCTCTCTGTCTCTGTCTCTGTCTCTCCCCGCCACACACACACTGCAGGTATTGTGGGTCCTGTGCCTTTGCCCTCCCCCAGCCCTGGAAGCTTTGGCTTTCCCTGGTGTGTGTGGCCACATCGGCCCACAGCGTAGGGCCCAGCAGAGCTCAGCTGCAAACTGGGAGAGAGATCTGTAGACCAGAGGTCTCCAGGGAGGGCGAACCGAGCTTGGTCAGACCCACAGGATGGTCTCGAGGCCAGAGGGCAGAGGAAGGTGGTGGCCACCAAGGGGGCACCGTGTCCCTGGCTCCTCACTGGGTGTGGCCCATCTGGTGTAGTGACCTCAGTGGGGTGGTCAGCCCCTGGCTCTGCCCTTCCTAGATTGCCTGACTTACGGTTTGCAGGAAGCCCCAACTCTGAAGAGTTTTCCCACGGCAGTCAGCTGGGCCACCTTCTTGATATCTGACTCTCAGCTCCACCTGCCGTGTGCTCTAGGCACTTGTGACGTGGCCCAGGGGGAAGCTCCAGCTGAGTGGGTGGCTGAGCCATCCCTGCCCTGCTGCACGCTGACAGGTCTTTTGCTTCCCTACCCAGGGGACATTTGCATCCCAGCTCCGGTAGTCACTGTGAGTCAGTTCATTGGTCCAGGTTCCTAGACAAGTATGCAGGGGCCAACAGCGTCTTTCCCCTCAACACTGCCTCCTGCACGTGGATGGAGACTGTCTCCACTGCTGAGGCCAGGGCGGAGGTGCAGGGCGTCAGGACGCGGGTGTGTGGGTGCTCTGCCATGGGATTGAAGGAAAGGCTTGTGCTGCAGGCCACCCTCCCTGCTCTGTAAGGACACCAGGCAGCTGTGTACAGGGTCGCCCCGCACCCACTGGCTTTGGCGGCGGCTGGGCTCAGATCTCAAACCCTGATGTCAGGAATGGAGGGCCACACCTGCTCTGTGGAGCAGTGCTCACAGGGCTGTTCATGGAGACGCGACAGCTGAGCTGTTCTCAGACTTCTCAGGTCCCCAGGCAGGCAAGGTCCCTCTGGTGGTGGCTGTCACCCTGCCTGGGCAGGAGAGACTGGCCTGCTGTGGCCACATTAGACAAACATCTCTGCAAGAGGCAGAGCTTAGGCCAGGGATGTTGCTCAGAGGCACAAGCGCCTACCTGGCAAGCGCAAGGTCCTGAGTTCGATTCCCAGTACAAAAAAAAAGGAGGCAAAACTGAACATCAGGCCACAAGGATGACATGGGCTGGGATTCTCACAAGGGCAGCTAGACAGGACACTGAGTCCAGGGGCTGGCTTTTCTGCACACCGCAGCTGCTTGCTCCAGGGCTCCCCTGGCTCCCGAATCCCCAGGGATGCAGCTGGGGGCTGTGTTCTCTCCCAGTGACACGGCACCACCCAGGCACAGCCCCTCCTGGCAGAGCTCGGCAGTAGGCCCTATTGAGCCTGGTTTATGAGGTCCCACCGAGCGCCTCCCTGGCACAGACTCGGGGCCCAGGTGTTGTCTGCAACCTCAGCTGGCCCAGCAGCCCCAGAGGACTGTCAGGGGGACCCCGCTCCCCTGCCGGGCACCTTCACTGTCCCCAAGCTGCTGTGTTCTGCCACAACCCACCCTGGCCTCAGGCCTGGTAGGAAAGGTCCTCACTGACCTTCACATGGCTCCTTGATGTTCTAGAGTGGCGCTACATGGCCGCCCACTAACTGTTCCCACAGGACCCACTTCCCTACTGTCACCTCACACACCTGCTTCTGTCGCTCCACGGGGAGGTGGCCCCGTGAGGCGGAGGGTCATCCCACTGATCTGGTGCAGTCTCAGTGCTTGCATCAAGGCCCGAGTGAGAGAGCACGAAGGGAGCAGCGGGGGGTGAGGGGCACACAGCCGCCGAATGCGGCGGTGGGGACCCAGCATGGCGAAGGCATGCAGCCCTGAGGCGGCCGGGACCTGGAGCAGGCGTGGGCCAGAGGGTTTGGGTAGGGCCCGTGGGGCCCGTGGAGCTGTGCCGCCTGAATGCAGCTGGAAACCCCCGCGGGCTCTGCAGGAAGGGAGCAGGTGCCCCACGGGCTTTCCTTCATCAGCTTCAGTTGTGAGAGCAGCTCGAGGTTCTCAGCAGCACTGAGCGGGAAGTACAGAAATCTCTGTGTCTCCGACTCACAGCACAGCCTCCCACGGCCGGCCCTGCACCGAGCAGGACGTGCTGCCGAGGACGAGCCGACGGGGTGGGGCGCCCAGGGCTGCAGTCTCCCGAGCGCTCTGCCAGTGCGGGCCTCCTGCACATAGTGACGCTTGACACCCACAGTGTCGCCCACACAGTGCCCCTGCCCCGAGAGTCCCTGTGTGCTGCCTGTCCCCCTGCCAGCGCTTCAGTGCGGGATGAGACTGGCGGCGGGGCCACTCCGGCAATGCCAGCGCAGCCTCTGTCCCTGCAGTGCTGGCCTACATGCAGCTGCTGGAGGACTACTCGGAGCCTCAGCCCTCCATGTTCTACCAGACGCCGCAGAGCGAGCACATCTACCAGCAGAAGAATAAGATGCTCATGGAGGTGTACGGTTTCAACGACTCCTTCAGCGGGGGGGACTCCATGCAGGAGCTGGCCCCACCACCCGCCCTGCCCCCCAAGCAGCGGCAGCTGGTAAGCAGCCCTGCCCCACCCCACGTGCCTGGTGCCACAGGGTGCCCAGCGCTTCCAGCCCTACCAGACCTCTTTGCTTGTCCTGGCAGAGCCTTCCCCCTTCCTGAGAGGCTCCATACAGCCAGACAGGCTGTGCTACGAGCGTCTGCTTTCTCTGCTGATGGTCTCTTGTATTTTTCCTTTCTTCTGTGGCTCCAACATAGACCTCCTAGAAAGGAAGGACTCAATCAGAGGATAGGGCCTGTCTGTGCACAGCCATCTGGGGACTCCATTTCCATAATGGCCTAACTGACTTCCACCCCGCCCCTGGCCGGAGGTGGCCCCCAGAGAACAGAGCTGCTCTGTGCTGTGGGTACGGCCCCATCCTCTGAAACACACCTGTCAGGGTCCTGCCAGGGAGCGAGGGGGGGCGGGCAGGAGGCAGGGGGTCTTTGGGAACAGCCTGTTGGCACCTCCAGCCCTTTCCTCTTCGCTGCCCATCGCCAAACCTGGATCTGAGCCTCTGGTGCAGCCACACTGTCCAGGAGGGATGGTATTTCACCATCTGGTAGCTTTCTGACCAGAGAAGGGCCAGCTGCAGTGAGCGAGGCCATTTTTCTTTTGTCCATTGCAAGGGCACGAAGCTGCCACCATGTCTTCTCTGGAAGGCAGCTGCAAACTCTAGGATGAACAGCCCTGTTCATTCCTTGTAGCCGCCCAAGACTCAGCCTGGCCAGGGGAGTCCCGCGCCATGCTGCCTCCCATGCACTCTGGCTGATCCGAGTCTGGTCTCCCTTGAAGTCAGAGGCCTTGGATTCCAGTCCTACCTCTCATGAGCTGGGTCCCGGGCTCTGTCCAGGTCTCAGCTCTTCACCTGCCCAGCGCACAGGCGCTGTGTGTGAGTCCAGGCTCCTCTGAAACTTACTCCCGAGGGGTCTTCGTGGAAACGTAGGCCTGACCTGGGACCCCTAACTCAAAGCGTCTGGCCAAAGCCAGTGCTGAGCCAGATTGCACGGAGAGCTGCCAGTATGCCCACGGGTGTCCCCACTGAGCACAGAGGCGCGGCCTGATGGCCGTTCCGAGGGAACCACCACACTGGCAGGACGGGGTGCTGCAGGCAGCTCCTGAAGTCTCCCCAGGCCCGCACAGCCACCTCCATGTAGCTCCCGCGAGCCTCACCACAGCGCCTGGCATCCTACTGTAAGTAAATAGAGGCCGAGAGACCGACCCCGAGGCCCACACTCAACCCAGTGCCCAGCCCATGCTCACTGGCCGAGCTGCCTGCCAGCATCCCCTGCGCAGAGAGCACACTCGGAGGAACTGTGTAGGTTGTGCAGACAGAACTGCTTGCCGTGACCGTGCTTGCTAGCCACCCCACCCAGGAGCCGCCCCTGGCAAACTCTAGGCCAGCAGGTGGTCAATGGCAGGGTCCAGACTCAGAGCCCGTGGCCTGGTACCCATGGGGGCTCGGAACCCGGCATCTCCCCAGGTCCCTGCGGCTCCAGCCTGCTTGTCCTCTGGCCAGTGTGTCTGGAAGCTCACCTCTGACTGCATTGTGAGGAAGGGAAGCAGGGTCCCCTGCTGGCCAGGCTACCTTCAGCAGGTGTCCCTGACCCTCGCCTGTCCAACGTGTCCTCAGGATGAGGGAGCAGCCCCGGGCCTGGCTGTGCGTGCTGACGGTTCTCTGCTTTCTCCTTCTCCCTGCCTTCTCTCTCGCCCCTCTGCCCAGCAGGCCTCCTATGCTGCTTCTTCCTTCTCCTCTGTCTCCCACTGTGTCCAGCAAACTAAAGTGGCCTTCACCCCCGATGACGGCAGTGCCACTCAGGGCCTCAGTGTGTCCATGTCTAACTCCTTTCTCAGCCGGCATGGCAGCTTGCCTGTGCCCTCGGTGAGTCGCTCCCTGCCATTCCCACCGGCGACCCGGGGCGCCATCCCTCAGAGCCTGCACCTCCGGACGCTGCTGGCCCTGCCCCCTGCAGACTGCACGGGGTGGGTGGGAGGCACCGGGGAGGGCTCTTGGGGCTTTTGGGGGAGCTGGGAGGAGTGTAGAGAGGTGACAGGTGGGTCAGTGTCCAGCACAGGGCCGTGTCAGCCTTTAGTGGGCCTGGGGTCAGCCTTCTGATGTCCTGTGCAGGAAGCCAGGCCCAGGATGGCTTGAGGCTGAGGACTGTGTCACTCAGCTTCTGCTGCGTAGTCAGCCACCCTGAGCTTGGCAGCTTAGAACAGCAGAAACTGCTTGCTTGTCCTTGCATAGGTTGCAGGCCAGTGCGTGGTACTGATCTGGCCCAGGCATGGCTGATCTGGGCTGTACTTGCTGCTGCCTCTGGGACCTCACTGGGGACAGTTGGTTCGTCTGTCACCTCCATCAGGCTGGCCTGGGCCTGTTTTCTGACAGGATTCCAAAGAGGGCCATGTGCCAGGTGCTCTGCGGCCTAAGCATCTAGATGACACAGTGTCTCTGGGTGAGGCCCCACCCGCCCCACAGCAAGAGGCACCATACCCACTGTGCAGAGCACAGGTGGGTCCCAGTCACTGTCCCCACGTGAGGGAGCAGCCGCTGCTCTCACCACAGACCGCGTCAGGCCAGAAGCAGCTGGCCGCTGTCCTTGTAGCTGTCTGCTCCCACAGCCTCAAGCAGCAGGGAAGGGACAGAGCCGGCTCGGCCCCATGCGATCATTCTGGCCACGATGACTCGCTCCTCCTTCCCAGGCTTCGTGTGTTTCCTTGGACTGTTTGTGACGGAGGGGATGTGATGTCAGCCCAAGCAGCCGTGCACGTAGTGAGCTTGAGGGAGTGAAGGGACTTGGTTCTGGGCTGTGTTCTGGTCCTGCTTCCAATTCTGTGCTCAGGAGTGGAGCGGACAACTTCATCTGTCTGTGCCATCACCTGATAGAGTTGTCCAAGGACCCTGGCCTGGCTTGGTTTGCTCTCGTACCCATCTGTGCCAGGGTTTCCGTCCCATGCCCAGGGCCAGGGCAGCACTGCCTGCAGTGAGGACCCTGGTTGCGTCCTCCCGAGGGTACTCAGGTCTCTCTCCAGGGCCTTTGGCAACCAGGCCTGCTGGGAAGGCTGCACGCTGCCTCGTGCACCTGTGGCCGCCTCTAGGCGTCGCCGTCCACAGTGTCACATGTGTGACTTTTAGGCACCCCTTGCTCTTGCCTGCTGCTTTCCCAGACCATGAGCGTGAGACGTCCCGAGTCTCTGCGCATCCCCTTTGGGTGTGGGAGCCATTGGGGGTCATGAATGAACCGCACTGTCCGCCACAGAATTATAGAAGAACCAAGGTCATTTTGGTTCAGTTGGGGAAAGCGTGTTGTGGTTTTCATCCCTGGGACAGAGAAGCTTTACGCACATTGCGTCCACAGCGCTGCGTCCTCAGCACCACTGTCAGGGAGGCGCTGCGGGGCTGAGCTGCTGAGGTGCTCTACTGTATCCGAAGGAAGGCCCCTCGGGAAGTGCTGCCCGTGGCTTAAGCCTTTGGAGCCGCCATCCTCCGAGGTGCCGAGTCCCCAGAGACGTGGTCTGCGGGAGTGCCGGTGTTTTCTTCCTGGGCTCTCCGGTTGGATTCTGCCGTGAGCTGAGACACGGTTTGGGGTGGCTGCAGTGTCAGAGCACCCCGGAGTCTTGAGTCTCCTCGTTCTGGTTCCCAGGCCTGTGTCCAGCCCAGCATGCAGTTCTGAGGGGCGCCCCAGGAACGCAGCTGGGTCCAATCTGAAGACGTCTCTCAGGTTCTTGGCAGTGACCCATTCTTGTACTGAAAGATTCTGACCATGGAACACCTTTTGCCAAGATAGTTTGTAGAGCAGTGCGCCTGCATTGAAGCTGGGTGTGGTGGCATCTACCTGTAATCCCAGCGCTCTGGTTGGCTGAGGCAGCAGGGTCCCAAGTTGGAGCCCGACCTGAGCACCTTAGCAAGTTCCTGTCAAAATAGAAAATAAAAAGGCTGGGATGGAACTCAGTGTGAAAGTTCTGGGTTCAGTCATCACTGTGAAGAAAAGAAAAACACAACAGTGCATCAGATGACTCAGGTAAAAGCGGGTGCTGCAGAAACACCCTGCTGAGGTGACTCAGCCTGCCAGGCCACCCCCTGGCTCTGTAGTACAGGGGCCAGAGGCAGGAGACAAACAGAGAGAGCCGGGAAAGGAGGTGTGAGTGTGGCCTGCCGTGTTCCAGGGCGCAGTGCCCTGCGGGGTGAAGGCCCCTCGGTGTCAGGGAGGCCAAAGGCAGGGCAAACCAGGGACTTCCAAGTTGAGGCCCGGGGAGAGGTCTGCTGGGGTGACAGCAGCCAGCGCTTGCCCTGCTCCTTGGGACCCCACCCTCAAGCGTACATGCTGGGGCAGGACGTTGGGCAGCACCTTCCCTCCCCTCTGTCCAGTGGACGCCCCCACTCAGTGGGGTCTTAGCTCTCAGTCTTCTGGGAGGCGGACAGGAGCCCGTTAGAATCAGCTTGACACAGAAAGCGGGTGGGACGTTGAGGGCAAGCCAGAAGGCAGGAGATGGGGAGGAAAGGGGGCCTGGAGGCCGGCCTGTCGCGCTGACTGCTCAGCCTGACCGCAGCAGGCCTCACCTTGCGTCCCGGGACCCACATGTCGTGTGCAGGGCCTCTTCCTCTCCTGGAGGCCCCACCGCGCTTCCCGGGCGCCCGCGCCCAGCTGCTGCCCGTCCCTGTGGTGGCGCAGCCACTCCCTTCATGCTCCCCTCGCTGGCCTGACTCTGGTGATGGGTCAGGAAGTGCGGGGTCTGGCCACGCCCGTCCCATGGGCCAGGTGTCACTGAGCCTCCCAGGCAGGACAGGCTCGTCCTCCACCCTGCCCATTTTCTGCCGCCTTCCTGCTAGCAGCCAGTTGTGGCTGGTACCTCACCTAGAGAGGCTGGAGAGCTGGAAATCGCTGTTACATACTTCTTCTTGGCTTCCCAGATGATTCTGGATAAGCAAACTGCTAGCAGACTCAGCTTTTGATTAGAAATGCCCAGGGTAGCCGGCATTTTTCTTATATTAGATTTTACTGGTACATTTTTAAATACACATAACAATCACATTTATTGTAGAGAAGTGGTACCTGTACATGATATAACTTCGGGTTTGTGGGGTGGGGTTGGTACTGGGAATTGAACTCGGGACCTTGTGCTTGCCTGGCAGGCACTGTGCTGCTGAGCTCCATCCCCGGCCCTATAACTTTGTGGTTTTTTCCCCATTCCTCTACCCTCCCTTCAACTGTGTTGTGTTGTTTTTTTTTAATCTGCAGTGAGAGAGTTGAGTGTGCGCTGCTGTGAGGACCTCACTCTTTACTTAGAGGCTGAGCCAGGTTTAGAAGGCCGTGGCCACCCACTCCCTAAAGGCAGCCAGGGCCAGTACCACCCCCGAGCACCACCGGGCCATCTGTGGTGCTCGTGTCCACTCTCCCAACACCCCCCAGGCTCCTGGCCACAGACTGTCCCTGAGAATTCAGCCAGCAGCTGTCCCAGGGCCGTGAGCTCAGTGACAGAAGAGACTCAGGCAGGGGTAGGAGGGGGCAGCCATGACCGGGCAGTGCACACCGGCCCGGGGCGCTCCTCGGGTGGGAGAGGAAGTTCCCCCACCCTTGCCTTCACTGTGTCACCTGGGCAGACTGCAGATGGGAGGGGCCTGGAGGCCCAGGGGCAGAAGGTGTTTCTCAGAACCACACTGCTCCCTGGCATGGTGTCTGGGGCCTGCCTGACTTTCTGGGTTTCCTCGGCAGGTCCCCGAATTGTCAGCACTGGCCCCGTGTCTGCAGCTGTCCTCACATGGGTGGCGTCTGTGCCCCTCCATCTCATAGTCTTGGTCCCCCAGCCTGGCGAGGCACACACAGCTTGTGGGGGCTTCGGGTGTGTGTCATCGGCTCCGAGCCATCCCCACTCGGGGGTTCCAAGCCCAACAAGCCTGCCGGGCCGGCTGTGAGCTTCAGGGTCTCTGGCCATCTGTGTGTAGACCGCTGTCCATGCCAGACTCCAGGCTCCCCAAGCTCCAGCGTGTGGCAGGAATGTGCATTCACGCCTGCGCCGCGGTGCATGTGCCTACCCACTGAGCAGCCCAGGCAGGAAACGGAAGTGTCGCCGTGTCACACCAGCTCGCTGAGCGTGAACCACGCTCACGGCACACAGTCCTCAGGTCCCACCGTGCTACCCAAGCCCACCTAGGTGGCCCCCAAGGCCACCAGTGGGCTCCCATTCAGCCCCACAGCCGGGCAGTTATTGACCCTGCAGAGCCTGGGCCTGCACTTACGTGGTCTTCGGAGGCCCTGGCTGGCTACGAGTACGCAACCTGTGTCCCCAGCACCCTTCTCGCGTAGTCCACCTCTCTCTCACTTGCACTTGCTTTTCTCTGCTGTCCTCACGCTTCCTGGAGTGCCACCCCGTCGTGTTTGTCCCCACCTGCAGCATGGACCTGAGCATGCGTCCAGCTCCCTGTCTGCCCGCAGTGGGGGTGGCAGACGCCAGGCACTGCTCTCGTTGTTCCCCTGCTGCTTCTCACGAGTGCGGTCCTGAGACAGGGCCTGAGCCTTAGACTGCGGCCGCAGTGCTGCCCGGGCCCGGGCTGGGAGGTGCTGCCCGGGGCCGAGCCGGCCCAGAGGGTCTTGATGTCCCAAAGCAGTGAGCAGTGGCAGGGAAGCTGGGAGCCTCTTCCCCTGGCTCACGTTGTGCTCTGCTCTCCTGTGCCCCTGCGTTTCTAGAGCAGGGTGACACTGACGGCCTCCTGCCAGCCTCCTGGCCAGGGAGGCAGACGCAGCCGCACTGAGAGCCTGTGGTCTTTCTCGTTCCTTCCCTGCGGACCCGAGCGGCCCTGGCTTCGGGGTTACTTGCTGTCTGTGTAGGCCTAAAACTCACTGTGGCTCCCACAGGCATGGTGCCTTCTCCCTGCGCGGCTCT